CTGTGTGATGGTCTGCATTCATCGCTTCCATTTCTTGCCCACATCCTAGAAGTGGCCATTTCTCCAGGACGTGCTCATTCCTTTCATTGGAAAATGAAATTAGACAGCAAGATCTGTGTGTTGGGTACACTTACTGGTACTGGGGTGACGTTGTTTCTGGTCTTCTCAGCTGACTAAAAACAAATAAACACATAGCTATAAATATTTCTGTACATAGCTGTGTCTATATTAAAGTAAGCATGTGCTTATATCAATGTCGTCTCCAACTCTAATCCATTACTTTGTGTATCATTCATTCTCCTGCTTACCTGTAAATTTTGACTCCAACAGAATACTTTACTTTTAAAAGTATGAAAATCAAATTGCAACAACTTTGTTAACCCTAGGGAAGTCATGCTGCCTAGCAGAATAATTCTTAAAGGGCGTGGTGCATATCATCAAACTTCAGTTTACAGCTAGCAGAACTTTTTAATATCAATAAATCTCCAGACTTATGGTTCTGACAAGGTAGAGTGGTCCCATTTCTCCCAGGTCCTTTCATGTACAGCTAAAACCCTGAAGTTAACATAATAAACAAGCACAGCAGACACTGAAAGGTGAACATTAGAAAGAAGACTTACTAAGCACCTCAGGTCTGAAGAAAGGACACAGCAGTGAGTTCCCTGTTCTTTATTGCTGCCCATGTATGTCAAACAGGACACTACACTTACCTCTAGTCCATAACCCAATAGATACAGACACAGATACTAACAGCTCCAAGGAAAACCTGTACTTCCTCCTCAAAGTACAAGAAAAAGGGTTGCTAACAACAGAAAACTTTTTAAGCAATACATGCGCTATACTAGCCAAACACTAAGGGGAAAATTATACCCATTCTCTATGCTTTTGGTTTTGGTAGGACCAATAGAGCAGTTGATCCTCCACGACACCCTACTCTTGCCCCTCACAAGAGAGACAGCACTCCGATTATTTCAGTGTGGTGCAGTGGTGAGCTGGGCCTTCACACCAACCCATCAGGAAGGGGGCTTCCGGAGATGGTGCCAGACAGGGCTTGCCCCACACAGTCATGGGGTCTAATGAAGAACTTAGCCTCTACCTATACTTGACATCAATATCAGGATGTTGCAAGTTGGAGCCAGGAGGTACTCTACTTCCCCCCCAGACTTGGTATCAGTGGGGCCCTGGGGGATCTGAGACTCTGCCCACCCCTAACACCAACATGATGGAATGCGATGGTGTGAAGAAAGACACGTGGCACTTCATGTCCCCTGTTGTCAGAGCGTCTTTTAGAGAGCTGAGCTTCCGCTCCCATTGAGCTAATGACATGATAGGATTGGCCCACATTCTCTTGGAAAGTGTTGGCAAGGCCAAAGGGAGAGCCCCGCTTCTGTCTCATCTCTCTGTGTGAGGCAATGTGAGTCAGGGCCCCACTTGCTGGCATGTCAGCAGGACCCAGCGGAAAGCTGTACAGTCCCAGCCAGCCAGCCCTCATGCTGCACCTCAACTGAGGAGAACTTCCTGCTGGAAAACAAGACAAAGAGGACCCAGAGTCAGATAATACTCACTGTGTTCAGAGTACATTTGAAAATCACTCATCATACCAAGACCCAGGGAAGCCCAAAATGATGAGAAAAGACAGCATACACCAACAGTGAGGTATTACATAAATCAGGCGCTGGAGTTGTCTGACGAGGATTTTACATAAGCTGTTCCCTAAATGTTTCAACAAGAAATTATATATTTCTTGAAATAAATGAGAAAATACAAAGTGAAAGCAATGAAATAGAAGTTATAAAAAAGTGGAAATGATAGAACTGAAAAGTACAGTAACCAAGGTAAAAACTGCATTCAACAGGCTCAAGAGTACAGTGGAGATGACAAGTGTAGGGTCAGTGACCCTGAGGACAGAGCAGTAGGTTTTACCAGCTCTGAAAATAGAGAGAAAAATAGACTTGGTGAGAGAGTGGACAGTGTCTCAGGAACCTGTAGAATAGTGGGGGGAAAAAACTAGTGTCTATATTATCAAAGGTCCAGAATGAAAAGAGCGGTGCAGGTAAGGCTAAAAAAGAGTTGAAGAAATAAGGACTGAACAGTTCCCAAATTTGGCAAAAGACATAAATCTCCATTTCATGAACCTGAGCAATCACAAAATGGGATGAACAGAAGACTATCTGGGCCAAGACACCTCACAATTAAACTTCTGAAAAATAAAAACAAAGAGAAGAAAAAATGCAAAGCAGGCAGAGAGAAACACTGTGTTACTTATGGGGAAACACTGTGTTATTTATGAGGAAATGCTGCGTTACCTACAGGGAAACACTGCGTTACTTACGGGAAATATTGGGTTACTTACAGGGAAACACTGGGTTACTTAC